TAATTAATACACACACACACACACACACACACACACACACACACACATATATATATATAAATTGTGTGTGTGTATGTGTGTGTACATACATCTGCTGTTCAGGTATAACCTTGATACCCAGAAGAGTAGTATGCACAAAAGGAGGAAGGAAGGAAGGAAGGAAGGAAGGAAGGAAGGAAGGAAGGAAGGAAGGAAGGAAGGAAGGAAGGATAATGACCTCCTTCAAAGAACCAATTGATTGAAACTATTGAATCTTGGAGAACATAACATTAAGTGATTATCTATCTATCTATCTATCTATCTATCTATCATCTATCTATCTATCTATTATCTATCTATCTATCTATCTATCTATCTATCTATCTATCTATCTATCTACCTATCTACCTATCTACCTACTTATCTATGCTAGTGATTCCCCAGCTAGCTATGTAATTAATAGACTGGAGCATTGTAAAATTGAGAAATGTCACATTTGTGTTGCAGATGTACAACCTTGAACAATTATGCCTTAATCCATGTCATTAATTACTGTGATTTATTGCAAAGGAAATTAAACAATGGAAAGATCTTTAGAAATTACAACAACCAAAGACTTTCAACTTTCTGTGCATTTTTTTTAGGAACCTTAGGAAGTCAAGCTCTGGCACATAGCTCCTGTGTAAGCCTGCGTACAAAAGAAATAGGAATTCGACGACTTTCTGATTATGAAATACATCAGCATCCCCAAAAAGTTGTAATGTGAGTATCTAATTTTCAGTTGAAGGCCTGGAAAAGAATGTTTTGTTCCATCAGCAAAAATGTAAAAAGATAACAAAATACATATGAGTATGATTCTGTTGGTGTTAATAAACAGAAGAGACATTTAGTCCCCAAAAAGGATTGTTTGGTGATTGGAGGGAGAAAAACAAGCAAAAACACATATTATTGCATGTGTACATGCATCATATATGTTCAAAGAATATTTGAGTACAGCTTAGTAAGATGAAGCCCTGTTAGTCTAGGGTACCAAAAATCAGCAGCAGTTTGTAGCATATTTTCTGATTAAAAAGAATCAATTTGTGAATTGTAGCTCCTATTATCAGATGCCACTCTGTGCATTTGATGAAGTTAGCTTCAGCTTACAAAAGTTTATTTCTTTTAATAAAATGTGTATCTAGGTGCTACTAGAGTTGTTCAGATTATTTTAGTACACCTTTATAACGTATTTCTTAAAGACCAGACCAGCCAAATACTTCCAACAACAGTACTTAAGAGCTGACAGTAAATATTAAAGGCTTTTTTATTTGTCTCTAGCATCCTGGTGTTCACAGATACATTTTAAATTACAATTGCTATTATCTCTAATCACAGGCTATGATCACTGAAGTTTGTGAGAGTTAGAGCTCAGAATAGTTGGAGAAGATACAGTAGGTTAGCTGCTATGTTCCTCAGTACTTGCCAGCTGCATGCTAATAATATTTAATTCAACCAGTTAAATTCTCTGTCAGCTGCCAAAGTTGTTCCCTATAATTCTGGCATGCCAGCACATATATATTATACAATATACTTATACCTTTGCTCATGCATTTTTTAATCTGTATCTGGTGCCACATCGACTTTAGGACTGACAAGTTTACCTAGGCATATTCTACATACCTCTTGGTATAATCCAAATACTTTTCACAGCTTCCTACTTTTAGTGAAGCTAGATAATAGAAAAAGGTTCTAGTCAATGTACTAAAACGCACAGAAGTTGGTACGCTCACTTCAGGATCATACAGGACAATAATTAAGCCATTATTCAAATCCCTGATAGTTATTACAAAATCAAGATTGCTGTTCTAGTCTTGTGTAGTAAAACAGCTGTGAAACTATGCACGGAATTATAATGCTTATCACTCTAATTCTGGTTGTTTGAAAGTTTGTAACTGGTGATAATTTGGAAATTTTGCAAGTAGTAATGTGGCAGATGTGAAAGGAGACAAGGAGACTAGGTTTCAATGACAAAAAGATGGAATAATAATAACAGCAATTCTGACATTGTGTCAATTTTTCTTTTGACTTAAATCAACAGATCTGATAAGATTAATCTGAGAAGATTGAAGTATTGATTTTTTAAATTGATATATTTTAATAGATACTATTTTGTGGCATTTTAAACATGAATGAATTTATTATCACATAAAATTTTAAGGATTTTATTAAATCCTCCACAACAGAATAGTGGCATGAAGTACCCAGAAAAAATGTAAATTGATTTTAAAAAGGTTTGAGTGAATGTGAAATACTACATTTGGTGTTATTTAATCTCCCAGTCACTGAATAATGAATATATGATTAACAGCCGAAGCTGAAATCAGAACTTTTCATCTTATTAGCTTCCAATAATATTACCTTCCATCACAATCTAGTGCTGGTTAGACCTCAACATTCCTTATATTTCAGCATTCAGCATTAACTGCAAAACTATTTAATTTATGGAAACTTGCTTTTGACTTAATTTTTATTTTCTTGTAGTTTAATTGCCAAAAATCGAGTGAAGATCTGTGTGCCACATGATGCTGCATGGGTGAAAAAAGTCATCAGAAACTTGGACAAAAGAAAGCAGAAAACAAGTGACTTAATAAACATACATAGATCTAATAACGTGACCAACAGAACAACTATATAATGTCTGCAAATTACTTACAGGAAATAAATGTTCAAAATCATTAAAATTTCACTCGAATAAATTCACTGCTATACCTAGAGTTCATTGATTTTTGACCTTTTGGTGCTGGCCTTGGACTTAATTACTTTAGACTTGTGTGGTTTATATTTATTATGTAAACCAAATCAATCACTATTTTCAGAACTTTTCCTAGATTGGATTCTTAATAGGATTTTGGTTCTTCCAGCAGATTCATTTAGCTGAAGCATTATTCTGTGTAGCTTTCATATTTTGCTGCTAGATAATCTGAGAGCTTCCCACAATTAGAAAGCAATGGTATTGATGGAATACTTGTTTTTGGCAGAATGGGAAGAAATAACAAGAATATCACACTTAGAGAATGAAGTGAGTCTTTCTTAATGAATGTGTCTATTGCCAAACTTCTTTCCGAGATAATACCTACACCATATCACCATGTTAAATAGTCTATCAGTAAATCACTGCTTTTTTCGTAGCATTCCAATTATCAGAATAATTTTGGTATTATCAAGGTTACAGATAGAAAAATGACTCAGGCATTGGCTGTTGTTCAAATGCTAAATGGAAGAAAGCAGTATCAACAAAAGGTTTAAAAATAAGTATATATACAGATATGTGCATTCCTTTTGCTAGGAATATTTCATAAATGGATAATACTACATAAATCTATATTTTGTTTTAACCATGCTTGGTTGAATAATCCATCTTACAATAAGCTGGATTCAAACAAATTACCTTGTCTATCATAATGTATAATTCTGTCATTGCCTGTGACTGTCATTCTTTTCTGATGTATTTTTTAGTCCCTCAATGTTTAATGTTAACTTACTTATCAGTTGGCACTTAAACTAGGATTGTTATTCCTTTGTATATTATATCAACGATTTAATATTTCATGTTAACTTAGTTATCCATAGTCCAATTTACTATTAAAATAAATATTACAGAATTGAATAGATACAATGTATTGAGAATATTTAAAGATATTTAAATCTTGGTTCATTGAAGAACTATGTATATTGTACACCAATACAAAATATTCACATGAATATGTTTTCATTTAATTCTTAATTTTAGAACATCTAAGGTTAATGTACTTTTATCATGCCTTTAAATCAAGCTATTATTTTATAGGCATTTTTATAATATAAAATGTTACATTGCTAACAGTGAGCAGAATTTATAGGAAGATCTGTAGTAAAAATTATTTAGATTCAAATAGATTATTCCTACCCCCAACTATGGCTTTATTTTTCTTAAACTCAATTTTCAATTACTTAAAGCCTATTATTAGGAGAGCAAAAGATGGTATGAAAAGCAGTTTTGATTATTTCCAAGACTACACTTCTCATCACCACTCTACCTCATATAAACCACTCTTTCAATAAGCAAAGAAGTAATATTATTCCATATAATTCAGTCAGTCTACCAAAGATTCTTTCCCACAAGTGCTTCACATTGGATTGAGCCTGTTCTCTGCAAGTTAATAATTTTACACACTCTGTCCCATTAAGAGTTATAATTTGAGAACAATCGTCAGATGGCCTAGGAAAATAAGGCTACTAGGGCCTGAATTTATTTCAGGAGAGCATCTCTACTTAAAAAGTAGCATCCATTAACTTTGCCAAGAGTAGAGAGACTAATTCTCTCAACAAACATTTCCAGGTAGCTAAATATTCATCAGTTGGTATGCAGAGACTCTGACTTGATACTCATCTGTGTTTAATGCTGCTCTAAAATCTGAGTTCTTTGGAAAAGTACATGCCTTGTTAACTATGCAATGCAAGCCAGTTTGAGCCAACATGGAACCAGTTTAGTTGACCTTTGTCAACTTCTTCCTTCTGAGGAAGGAGATTTGAGTTCAGGCAAGTAGAACTGTAGACTTTTGTCTCCTAGAAAGGACTTTTTTTTTTGTTAAATGAATGCCATAGAGGCATTGCACACTCCGTCATTTGTATGAAGTGAGTTTGGGAATTAGTGAAACAGAAAAGAAGCAATTATATCTCATCAATATGGGATGAGATAGTGTATCTTGATACCATTTTCAGACACTGGGGAAAGAACCTTGATAGTAACAGTTGCTTGGTATAGGTAGAGATATCTCTCTCTGTGGATATCATCAAGGTATTGTTTGTATCTGACCCTGTGTGAAGAATGACCTTCTAATGTAAGTGGCTTCATGTAGATGCTGAAGTAAAAATATAGTAATTTACCCCTATCAACTCCAAGTGCAATTAGCTCTAAAGGAAGGAGCAGAACCGTTGTAAATTTGCGCTCCCCACAGTGACTTGAAGCTGTTCCAAAAGCACAACATGATTGATCATATTGAAAGCCATTGAGAGATCAAGGAAGGCTAGGATGGATATAATACTCCCATCTTAGTCCTGCCAACACTCACTTACCTCTATGATCAATGCCATCTTAGCACTATGTCCTAATCTGAAATCTAATGGAAAAGGATGCAAATAATCCTTTTTTCAGAGTCCTCTGAAGCTGTAATCCAATCACATCATCAACAACCTTTTCTTTAAAAAAAAGCCCAGTACAATTAGATTCAGAGATGACTTTGAGGGATATGGAAACCACTGCTTTTTAAAGAGCTATAAGGACCACTCTATTTTTCAAACATGCATATAGCCCTACCTGGATCCAACTACTTGCCATATCCTGGGAGTCCTTAACTTAAAAGGAGAGACATGGATCTAAACACAGGAAATAATCACATGACTGAGGGCCCTGTCCAAAGGATCCTTGGGAAAGCAGATTTAAATTCTCCCCAATTAGCAATACTAGACTGCTTTCTCATCTCTTCCAATAGACATGTGCTTAAGGGAACAACTTTAATTGACAGATGCCTAGAGTAGTTTTCTGAATGAACTTGTCTTCTTTCTTCTTGTTTGGATAAACAAGGTCACTGGATGGCTTTCTGTGAAGACAGAGTACAGAAGTAGCTACATCTTACCTTTTTTATTACCTTTTATACTTTATTTTATTATTGATGTTCTGGGTGTTTTTTCTGTCATTTCATCTCTCAGAGTTCCTCAGAAAACCAGGCACCTGCCTGGTATCTATGGACAGAGCTAGTCAGCATAGGCACAATTCAATCCAAAGTGATGGCTGCCCCCTCATTCTAAGTGGTGCCCAGGACCAAGTATCAAAGCCTCAGGAAAAATCCCAAGTTCCATATGAAACCCAACCGAATCAGGAACTAGAACAATCAAACATCCCTTTCTCCTCTATAGCAAGGAATAGCTGCAGAGAACTTTAGGGCTAAAAGAGAGTGCTTTGATTGCCCATGATCCTAAAATAAAAATCAGTGTAACTACAGTTGTGAGTCAAGACCATAATATATTGGGTCAGATTCATGGTGGTCTGAACTACTGAACTGCTTCAACAGCAACATTCAGTGGAAATTGATTCAAGTTCTCCACTATTAGTGTGACAGACTCCACTGACAACACAGTTATGGCTTCCATCAAGTAAGAAGGCTGTGCTACAGCAGATAAATTGATATAGTAGCAGCCATCCCATCTGACTCCTAGAGGCCGATTTCATATAAAGAATATATTCACATGAATATGTTGGTTCTTTTTAACCCAGAAAGAATGTATCTTAAGTCTAATTTGTGAATCATAAAATATCAAATTAATCCAATTAAGGCAATTTTTTATAGATCACTATGAAATTTTATTTGGAATTTTTGTCAATTGTATATATGTTTTTTATACTTTTAGGTTATACCTATGATTGTCACCATATGTGAAAGGATTAACACTGTATGTTAATCTTTACCTTTCTGAGTAAAATACTATGGTTAGCAGGCTCAGTGTGCTGAATCAAGTATTTTACAAGAACATATTCTTAAGTAAAGCTTTAGTGGATCATACCAATATCTTGTATTATGACAAACTAATTGTTGGCCAGTCTACAGGCAAGATATAATCCTCTTCCTTTTGCCATTATGCTCCAGTAACTTGTACTGAAACCTAACCCTTGATAATAGTGGTGTTTTCTCACACATTCAGATTAAAAGCCAATTAAAAATAACACAAGTAAAGAAATCCGATTGGTTATTTAACATTGTGGTATCATTGGACTTATTATATGTTCCTTAATAATGGACTAAGATGAAGCAGTGAAAGAAATAGGAGGGGAAAAACACTAACAAGGGGACAACAGAAAGATAACCATGGTGCCTACATGTCCAATTGTGAAAAAAGTATGTTGGATTTTCGCCCATTCTAAACATGCTATTTTGACCCAAATATTTCTGAAACAAAGGGCAGGGATTCTAGGACAAATGTCACATTTCAGGAATGCTTGAACCTCAGAATCTCTTCTTTTAAAAATTAAAGATTAACCTTTGCCACTAAAGAACTTGATATTCCCTTACCACAAGAGTGCAAGAAATTTCTTATATAAAACTATTATACAAGAAGCTGAACATTGATGATTCAGAGCTGGTTTTCTTACTGATACTCATAACTAGCACATGTACTTTGCTTGATCTTTTTTGTGTGTGTACACGTATATGTGTAATTAATACATAAGCTCTTGAGCACATTAGTGATGCTTCACTGCAGTAACTGAACTTTGCATTTTTCTGAGTCCTTTAACAAAAGACTGAAAATGTCCTTGGTATAAACTCACAATTCTTTTGCCAATTAATGTTTCTAGTGACAGTTTGGTATCCTTTGTTTGATGATCCATTTAAAGGTAATCGGATACACTGCCGCTAATTTTACCCTGAAATATATTTACCATGTTGCTGGGATTTCACTGATAAAATTGATAAAGCTAAGCAGCTGACCTAGCTGAAAAGAAAGCACCCTAAGCATCTATCCATATCATGGGGAACACAAAGGGCTCCATAAAGCCAAAACTTTTCAGCACTGTGGAGCTAACACCCTTTTATTTTCTGTAGCTCAGAAGCACAGAGAACCATATTTGACAAACCCACAATATTTTTCCAAAGAAGATCAATTAAAATTTTGGAGCAAAGTAATTGCTATGACCACCAGAGGGCATATAGTCACTTCCTTAGCAAGGAGAAGAGGGATCTCTAGTGATCAGTACATATTAAAAGTATCACAGTGTAGTGCTATGTATACATTTCCTCAAATTCCCTCAAATAAAGCAGGTTTGTTTCATACACTAAAGTAAATAAAAACATACGTTCCTTGCTTCATTGTAAAAAATAAAGAGCATGATTATAAAAACTAGGCCTGCCTGAATCCACCTTGATTTGAAATTAATATCTGAGATTCAAAGAGGGCTGAAGAAGGAGGATGGTTAGTGCGTACTGCGCCATAGAAATAAGTGAGTCACAAAGAAAGACTGGCAGGGGAAAGTGAAGTTACCCTTGTTTTCAAAGAAGTAAAAGTTTGTGTAGATACTGTAGTTTAATATGTAATTATTAAGAGACATAAATTTGGATGTCTTTTTTGTTGGTTTTGTCCCAGGTTTCCAGCCTATCAAACTAATTTTGAATCTTAGACTTTTACTATATTAGATATCTTTTCAGCTCGGAACTTCACTGCAGTCATAAATAAAAAGATGGAACAGCCCATGGCTTTAAAAAGATTTGGGAGCTTTATCAACCTTGGTAACTTTAAGATATGTGGATTTCAACTCCCAGAATTCCCCAGTCAATATTCTGATTGTTGAAGTTTCCAAGATTGACAACCTCTGATCTCTTTCTTTTTCTTTCTTTCTTTCTTTCTTTCTTTCTTTCTTTCTTTCTTTCTTTCTTTCTTT